AAAATATGTTGCTGGAGCTGATACATTTGATTTCAGGTCATTCACATCGATCCCCACATGATTTTCCTTTATATTGTCAAAATCAGGGTTATAAATGGTATCAAACTCAACTGCTAATACATGATTTGTTGGACGGCCATTGGTTGAAGTATTGAAAAGTCCAAGGTATCGGCCTGCAAGTGCCTGGCTGAAGTCCCTAGACGGTGAGATGACAAAGGCAATCCCATGGCCACTGAGACTAGGTGATTCTGGAACCATGGCAAACACAAAACATGTTGAGAATGAATAAGATGGAGCTGAATTTGAAGATCTATTGAATTGTAATGGGAATCTGTGGAAAGCATGACCCATTTCTGTCATTGAGGTGTTGGTGAGCTGCAAGAGTCCGTCCGGGTGGATTGTTGCAAGTCCATCAAGATGCAGGTTGCTGCCTTCACTGAATCCATTGAAGATGAATTCGTTCTGATCTTGAGCCAAGGCCATAGATATCACAGCTGCATAGAAAGCTGCCAAGAAGCAAAGTGATCGACAATCAGCCATTGGCAGGAGGATGGGGAAGCTTCTCTTCCTGAAAATTCAGAGTTTTGTGAATTCTTTTCCACTCACTTATGATGACTTCTCTTCGTTTGAACATTTTTTTTGCCATTCACTGTTTTGTTATATGGCACTTCCTAAATTTTCACTTTCTCATTGTATGGTCTACATGCAGATGTGACTCGTTATTTAACAGCTTCGGCCGAGCAAATTGCAGGTTATATCAACTAACTGACCTATAGAATACATTCAACGTACAATGAAGTAGATATAAAATTAATTTGCTTGCTTGGACTTTAATTTAATCCTGCATGAATATTCTCACTTGCATTAGATCAAAAGAAAATGACGGCTTTACGAATTCTATAATTTTCAATTTTTTCATTTGACAAATCAACCTTTGTTGCTTAAAGTTTCAAAGTGGACGAAGATTTTCAAACGTTTCTACCTGCAGTTGCTTTCAATTAGCCTCAGCCACCCGCATATAATCACATACAAATGGTACAAATGTTGGATTATTAATCTTATCTTGTTTATGATTGTTAGTTGCTTTGCTTTTAATAATTTATGAATTTTGTTGTTATTGTGAAAAACATTTGCTAAATTGAGTGAATTCCAAGATAGCTTAGTCCAAGCATGTGATAGCTAGGTACTGTAAACGAATATGCAGCAAGGTCATAATCATAGAAATAAATGCCTGAGTTCACTTTCACCTTAGTTTCCTGGAAATTTAGAGATATTTAGGAATAGAATTTCCACGTTGACTGTTCTACGGTGGGTTCCTGGTGGCTGTGATTCAATTCTAGAAGATGTAAGGGAACTGAAAAAGGAAAATTTCCAATTTTGCTGCTAAATGAAGCATGCTTACATTGATGTGAATGAACTCAGGAAAAGCAGATTGTTTACAAAGTATACTGTGCTAAGCTAGATTAGAAAAATTCAGGTTTCCCGAACAGTCAACTTTAGGGAGCAGCCTATGACTATGTACAACATTGTTCACAAAGCTGCTTTATTATCTTCTATATAGTACTAGATTAGAATTGCTTGGCTTAGTACTAGACAAATAGATTTTGTAGCTTCAAAAACAAATCATACAAAATAAACAAAACACAGAGTCCAGATAACATTTTCCTGATCAGCACTTGAATTGCATTTTTCAGTTGGTTTGGAGAATTCTTCCATGGCTTTCTTCCTCCATAACTGCAACATCAAAACACGCCGACATTTGAATCATCAATAACAGCTATACAAAGGGCCAAAAAAAAAAAAAGATTGCAGATGACATGTTGTACTCCATGGTAATGAAAAAAACTAGTCTACTTATTACCTTCTTCAGCATTTGTAGAGACAGGAATATTAGTTATAGAGTAGGAAGCTGAATGTGAGATATTGTCATTAGATTGGGCAGGCTTCTTGAAGGAAATGAAACTAAGAAAGGAGAGATTGAGTGCAGAGTGCAGAAGCAACACAGTTTTCATTATGTAAAATACTTAAATATACAGATAAGGGTAGTTACAAAACTACCTCAACAGTTATCCAATACAAACAAACTTAAACAAACTGCTATAAACTTAAAAACACTTAAAACAAGCTACAACAAACTAATTCAAACTGCAAACAAACTAAATTAAATTCAAATAACAAATAAATAGACTCAACCGGACAACAACATAGCAGCTTTGGTGGCACGCTTATCTGGAACAGTTCCAACAACCTCCTCCTTGCAACAAAGCTGCAAATGCCGAGCTGGTCTCTAAATTCTTCAAACCTTTTCTTCGGCAAAGGTTTGGTGAAAAAGTTTGCTAACTGATGTTCTGAGCTGCAATATAGAATCTGCACCTCCTTTTCCTTTTTAGCAAGCCTTAAAGCTCCACAAACACAGCAAAAACTTTGAATACTTGCTTCAAGAAATAAACCCAGCACATATATTCCACTGAAATCATCAATAAACAATAAGAAAAGTTTGCTGCCATTTATTGATGAGATCTGCACTAGACCACAAAAACAGAATGAACAAAATGGAGCTTTTTTGTAGCTCTCCAAGCATTGTTCACTGAAAATGAAAACTTACTAAAATTTTCCTTTTGACTTACACCACATACACCATCAAACCTCCCATTCCATTTCTCGGATTCATCCACAACAGTAGTTCATGCTTTAATTTCAGTTTGACTCCAATCAACAGAAAAATTTCTATGATTCATACCAGCAGTAAATAATTTTACACCAAGTTTATCAACCACATCAACACATTCATCATGAAAATGCACTGAATAATCATTCTCTAATAGCTGACCAACACTAATCAAATTTTGGCTCAAGTAAGGCACATATAAAACGTCACAAATGTACCTGATACCAGTTGGTGTATTAACAGTAACTGTCCCTTTTCCTTTCACCTCAACAAGTTCTCCATTTCCAAGTCTAACCATTGAAAAATAGGATCTGTCAAGTGTCTTGAAAATTGCCAAATTTGAGGTCATATGATGGGTACACCCACTATCAATGAACCAAGAATTTGAACCCAAAAACATTGATGAACAGCTCTCAACCACAACAACCACAAATAACTCTTCTACCTCCTGATCTACATTTTCAGCAACTTGAGCTTTCTCGTATTGTTTTGCCTTAGCTTTGCAAACCTTTTCAACATGGCCAAATTCCTTACATGAGCTGCATTTAAACCAGGCCTAAACCAGCAGTAAGTTGTCGTATGAGTCATCTTTCCACAGTGTGGACATGGAGGATAAGGCTCTTTCTTACCTCTACAATTGTTGTTTTGTTGGTCCTTCTGAAAATCTCTCTTCTCCTTTCCACTTTTGTCCAAAAATTGCCTCTCTTCATCATATTTGAACTGACCCTTTCCTTTTTCATTTGCAATAAAAGCACCTTCAACGGCACCTTCAGCTTCTTGCCTTATTGCTTTCCTTTGTTCTACAGCTTGAAGTGCATTCACAAGTTCGGAAAGTGTCATTTGTGTCATGTCCTTTGAGTCCTCCAGAGAAGAAATTTTATGCTCAAATTTCTCTGGTAAACTCACAAGAACCTTTTCTACAATCCTCTTCTCCGTAAAAGGGGGTGGATCAATGTCGTGCTCAACAGCATCCCAGAGGTCAAATGCTCTCAGATATGCCATCATTTTAATTGACCAAACTTGATAATTTTGGCCACAAACAACAGGGACCTTTGCGGCCAAACTGATACTTGCTTCCATGATTTTGCTTGAACTCTCTCAAATATTGGTGCTAAAACCTCACAGACCCTCACGGATCAAAAAAGTTCTGATACCAATTGAAGGAAATGAAACTAAGAAAGGAGAGATTGAGTGCAGAAGCAACACAGTTTTCATTATGTAAAATACTTAAATACACAGATAATGGTAGTTACAAAACTACCTCAATAGTTATCAAATACAAACAAACTGCTATAAACTTAAAAACACTTAAAACAAACTGCAAACAAACTAAATTAAATTCAAATAACAAATAAATAGACTCAACCGGACAGCAACATAGCAGCTTTGGTGGCATGCTTATCTGGAACAGTTCCAACACTTCTCACTCCAGAGGAAAGAGTTCATGGCTTCTTTCACCTTTCCCACCACATCACTAGGACTTCTTGGACTCATTGCCTGAGATATCACCTGAGAACGTGCTTTCTCATCTTCTCCAGGCTCAAAATTGTTCATTATATACTCTTTTACTGAAACACTTTATCCCATATTTTCTCTTTGGAAGAATTAGCTTTATCCAATTTCTTCTGAGCCTCCTCGTTTTCATTACTAGTAGTAGCAGATTTACTAGATTCTTCTGTAGCTTCCTTGTCAGTTTCATGAGCAGCATTAGGAGCAGGTCCCCCAACTGAAACAGTTAGCCCGGTTTGAATCTCTGTGGCAATATCCTGAATTGTATCTGCTACTGGTTCTGTCGTGGGTTCAGCTAATGTCTTGTTCTGACCAGGAGGCTTCTGATCTTTCTCCTGTTCCATGTCAAGATTGGCAGGACCGGTAATGCATGGTTCTCCGGTATTAATGTGAGCTCCATTGGACTCTGTATTGCAGTTGCCTTGGACCTTTCTGGGGCCAATCCAGATTCCTACACTGACATAAAATGTCATAGATATAAAGGTATAAGCATCCTGTTAATCAATGAAAATGGTGTAAAGGGTTGCATTTCATATCTTTACTTGGAACGCCAAGATATTCAGGATCGTCCACTTCATCTGCCACCAAATCTTCAAATCCAACACGCAGAGAGTGTGTGCTGTCATCTACATCGCTGTGCTTCTTTTTGCTGAGACTTTTCCTTAACTTTCTAGCCTTCTCCTTGACTTTTGTAAGATCAGATTTCTTGGGATGATAGTTACCATTATTTTCCTCTGAACCCTGATCCTTGAACGAAGGTGAGCCCTGTGGTGACCATTTTTGGGAATCAACTGCTGTCTAAATAAAAAGCTTGTTACAATGCTTGAATTTTCTTTCAAAAAACAAAAACAACAAAAAAAAAAGAAAAAAAAAGGGAAAGATAGAAAAGATAAAAAAACGTGAAGATTTGGCTAAACAATATCGCAATGGTGTATATACACCCCAGCAAGATGGAGCTGGAGATGCTATGGCTGAGGTTTTAAGGTAGAGATTAGTTATTGTCTTACTTAATGACAGCACAACCACACTGGATCAGTTAATATGAAGGTTCTTATAA